CACAGCTTTTCATGTTCTTATTTTACAGATGTAAAATCTATGACCCAATATGCTTTTCCCAAGGTCCATATTGCTCCAGCTTCAGATGGTCATCTTAGTGTCCATCAAGCAACTCTGCAGGAACCCCTGTCCTTCACCCTGGGGCTGGGGAGGACCTCGTGCATGTCCTCACATACACAAGGGAATGCATAGTCAAAAACTGGCTGGTCCAATGTCCTGAAATGAGTTTTGCCTTCTGGCTGGACTAGACCTGAGTGGAAAAGTCTCTCTTCGCTGTTCACAGGGAAAGGAGGAGCTTGGACAGGGCTTTCCTGGCAGATGGCCATGTCCTGAAACATGAGCTTTGCTCTAGTGAGGGAAAAAAAAAAAAGGAGTGTCCAGCTCTTCTGCATTTCAGCTTGTGTCTGGGATGGCGATGGAGCAAAGTCGATAGACATGACCCAGCGGTGGGGTTTACGCTAAATGTTCAAAAGAAGGTTGGATGTTGGGCACAGCTATCATTATCAACTGAGACTCAGTTACTAGCTCATAAGGTCTTTCTGTCCATTAGCACCAGAGCCAGCCCAGACACCGCCACCTTCCACTCCTGTTTATCTCTGCAGAAAACCTTGTCAGACAGAATAAATGTGTGTGCATAACTATGTGCATGTGTGTGTTTATTTGTGTGTGTGTGTGTGTGTATGCATGCAGTTGTGTTAGAATGGAGCATTTGACAAAGGCGGGGGAGCTGAGTAAAATGTACGGTACAATATTTTAAGCTCAGCAAACTGATAAAAAGCTAGCAAGGAGCAGAGCTTCCCCCTGCCCACCCCCAAATCTGCTAGAATAACAAAGAAGAGTAAGGGAGCAGGAACCCACAAAATCAACATATTTCACACCGAGGACAACACCCTCAAACACTGTGGTCACTAGACCTAGACTGGAGGTCGATCATGAATGCCATGGAGGTCTGAGGTGAGCAAGTCCCCGAGCCCCCCAGCTCTCATGGAGTTTTCAGCCGTGACCCCATCTGTGGCAACAGGACGTCCACCTGACCTGTCTGCAGGGTTGGTGGGCCAATGTCAGGACTTGGGTTGATGTAGAAGTGGACAGTGGGTGCTCAGATGTCCGTCAAGATGACAGGGTGTCTGCTGCATGTGTCTACCTGTGGGTCCTGTCAAAGTCGAAAGCCCCAGCTTAAGATGTGCTATGTGCTGGGTGCTCTGGAGAGACTGAGTGTAAGAGGCAGGACTGGAGCCGATTTGTGAAATGGATGGAAGGGATGTGAGTGAGAGAGCGGGGCAAGAGAGGACATCGGGCTGCTGTGAGGCTTCCAGCCTGCTTTGTAGAGGTAGAGATAATGCTCAATGTGATATGGGTGATCTTTAAGTTAGACGCCCCCTTGTAACATTTTATTCTGGGGTTCTAAAACTTGTGGGTTCCCAATGTCGGCTTCAGCCTATGCCATAGCACTCACCCTCTCCCTTCCCAGTTCATGTCTGATCCCAATTACTATTAGATGCACCCCAAATGCATAATGACATTGATCCATCATATCATCGAGTCTCTGCCCATACTTTCTCCTCCTTTAAAGTGTTTTTTTTTCAAGTTGCAGCTTTCAGAACACGTGGTCTTATAAAGCAATCCCCCACCCACACACCCCTGCTTCATTCTGCTCTATTACAGTCTTCTAGCCCATATTATCAACAGGTATGTCCTTGCCTCCAGTTCTCAGACCGCCTTGCAATACTGGGAGAACCCCCGGGTTCCAGCCTGTGAACAGGCTCAATTAGAATGTGCAGGGCTGCTGGATTTCGTTTAAAGCATCACACATGGGAAGGCATGGCCAGCAATGGAGCAGCCAGCTAGAACGCCAGTGGCCGGCAGGACTTGAGAAGCACTGAAACCAGGCAGAGGACGTAGACGCAATCTCTTGGCTGGACCCATTTCCGCAAGGTGGACATAGGAGTGTGTGGGCCTCTTGAGAGCACAGATGTCCTCTCCAGCCACTGTGTCCATGTCACATTTCACATCCCATCTGTCACTGGGCTCTGCTTCCCCTGACACAACTGCTCCAGGTGCTATGGATATCGCTCTGTATGCTATGAATGTGTTGCTCTGATTGGTTAATAAATAAAGTGTTGATTGGCCAGTAGCCAGGCAGGAAGTATAGGCGGGATAGAGAGAGAAAATTGTGGGAACAGGAAGGCTGAGTCAGGAGTTGCCAGCCAGACACAGAGGAAGCAAGATGTGAAGGCAGAACTGAGAAAAGGTACCAAACCACGTGGCTAAACATACATAAGAATTATGGGTTAATTTAAGATGTAAGATCTAGCTGGCAAGAAGGCTGAGCCATTAGGCCATACAGTTTTAATTAATATAAGCCTCTGTGTGTTTATTTGGGTCTGAGTGGTTGCGGGCCTGGGCAGGACTGGAGAAAACTCCAGCTACATCCAGGTTCATGTCTTTCACTGGAGCTTGTCTGTCCACCAGAATCTCAAGGAATGTCACCACTGTTCCCATGCCCTGGTGTTCAGTCCTCCTCTGGGTGGGAACCCACAAGCTCATTATTTCCACCTCTGTTGGTTCAGCAGGAAGAGACCTTGAAGAGCCAGAACAAAGATCATGACTACCCTATCTCAAACACGCTACCCATGCAGGAAGCGGCTGAAGGAAGAAGGCTGGGGGCATGGCCATGAAGCAACACTAAGGTCCATCTCACAACCATTCTGCAGCATCTCTTTGCTCTGGGAACAGGACCAGGGCACTGGGGTTACATGGATGAGCAAACCCTTGCATCGAGGACAGGCTGATGTACAAGAGGCAAGACAGATGCAGGGTCCAGAGGGGAAGGCAGATGTGAGAGCAACTGGCACGATGGGGGTGCAGCCTAGTCCTGAGAGATGGGAGGTGACGTCACATATTTGAGTCAGAGACCTAAGGCTTAAATGGGCTGCATGGAGTGCAGATGGAATCTCAGAGCTGGACATGGGCAGGAAGTAGAGATTCAGGGGTCACGAAGGCCAAGGCTATGCAGATGCAGGAGCACACGGGAGGTTTTATGCCAAGCCCATAAGCACAGGGAAAGATGTAGACTGGATTCCTAAGTTTCCCTCTAATACTACTGGGTACTCTGTAACACCCAATAAAGATGTCATGAGGATAATGATGAAAGATGAAACCCTGTCTCTCCGTGTCATTAACAAGTCTGTGGAGGCAGAGCTAAGACAGGAAGCCTGTCCAAAGAGGAAATGGGGGAGGCGCAACTGGGATCCAGAACCAGGAGGCTGGCAGGGGAACAGGGCCTCTCCAGGCAAGCCACCAAGCCAGGCAAACCACAAGAATACAGGGGTCTTTGGAGGTCATGAGCACTCTGTGGTGTGTTGGGTTTGGGTAAAACTGGAAGCTGCAGGGACCTGACACAGGACCTAGCCTTGCTTGCAAATGCACAAGGCAGAGGGGAGAGACCTTCCATGGACACAGTCTCCCTCGTGGACAGCCATATGTCTCCCTTTTGCTTCTGCTACTTCACTGTGGAGACCCACAGAGGTTTCCAGTGAGATCTGAGCTTGCTTGACCCAGCAGGGCTGCATAAGGGGATGACTGGACCACGGGCCTGGTCACCAGGTGTTTGGAAGGGTCCGCACTTGGCTGTGCGGTGTGCTTTGATCTAGCAAGGCGAGGGGGGTCTTTTGCCCCACCCCTTGGCACTGTTATAAAAAGTCTTTTTGAAGACAAAGAAGGAGCCAGTGGATTTGGATCCAGGTCCACCCGAAGCTATCCTGTGTTTCTGTCTGGCTCCTCTCCGCTCTCTTTCTATTTAAAAGTTTCTTATTTCCCTCTCCTCCTCATAGGAACCCTTTAAAAGGTGGGAGCTGGCCTCCCACACTTCACACACTCAGGTCACTGTTGTGGTAACCTCGTTCTTCGTCCCTGGTTTGCTCAATGCTTTTAGTCATTTCAACCCCTGCCTAATCTCTGATGGCCTGTGTTCCCTTCCCCATGGCCTGTGTGTCTCTGAAATGCTGTACATCGCACATCTTCATGTGGACATCCCTACAACTGTAGGCAACATCTCCCCACAACACACACACACACACACAGATGCGTATAGAAGATGCTGTTTCAAAAGTGCAGAGCCCCAAAGCAACTCACACCCCATTACTCAGCGAGTGAGTAGGGGGCATCAGGCCTGGTCAGCGGCTGGGTGAACGGCCTGCGCTTCTGTAACACTTTACAGGAAATCCCCTCAGCCCCGCCACAGACACTCACACTCGTGGACTTCCATCCCCATCAACCTACAGGTGGGAGCGCCAAGGAAATGTAGTTACCGTTAGGCCCACCCCCAACTCTAGGCCATCATCCTGAGAGTGGGTCTGTCTTTAGATAGACCAGCACAGGGACCTCCTGGGAAAGCCTGGGAAAGAAGCCCCTTCCACCGCAACAAGGAAGTACTGCAGATTCCACCCTCCTAACCCCTTTGTAGTTCCAACTTCAGTTGCCTACTCGATCCTGCAAAGCCTTCAGAGATGCGGCCTTGCTAAAATTCCAGACTAACCCCATCCTCCCTGTCCCACTATCCACATAGATCCATCCTTCCACAATCCAAGCACCTCACCACCCCCTGTCCTCTCCACCCTGCTCCATGTACACACGGGTCTACTCCTTGATACTTAGAAGTAGTGTTAACTGTAGTGGGTGGCTGTGTGAGCCATGCCCTGAGGCACCGCCTGTAGTGAGGTGACTATAGCTGGTACACCTGCCTATGACCTTGAGGTACCGGCCTCTGGGGCATGGCCACCGGGGACCCTTAAGACCTGGGATGCAGGCCAGGCAGTGGTGGCGCACGCCTTTAATCCCAGCACTCGGGAGGCAGAGTCAGGCGGATTTCTGTGAGTTTGAGTCCAGCCTGGGCTACAGAGTGAGTTCCCGGAAAGGCGCAAAACTACACAGAGAAACCCTGTCTCGAAAAACCAAAAAAAAAAAAAAAAAGACCTGGGATGCACGTATGCCTCCTCGTGGCTACCTCGTGGTTTTGGATGCTGAGATCTTGGACCAAGCTGTTCAGCATGGGATATAGCTCAGCTTTCCTGGACCCTACGATAAGTCTCCCATGGTTGAGAGTATACCCCCGAATAAACTCCTTTGATCATTAAATAGACTCTATGGATTAATCCCATTATCTAACACACAGGGAACCATTCCACCCATGCTATCTAAGACCTCCACCTCCCCCCCACACACACACACTCCAAAGCTGCTTTACATCATGGGTGAGCCTGCCGGTTACCACCTCTACACTTCTCATCTCATAGAAGGCAGGTTCCACAGAAGAATGTCTTGCAGATGTGGCTGGCACACAGGTGATAAAAACCACTCAACATATAATTCAACACCGCCGAATCAGCTAACCCAAGAGTCCTTTACTGACGCCGCAGACGTCAGAAATGTTCCGTTACTTCCCCATCGCCCTTCTCTGTTAGCAGCTTGCTTCTCTCAGGACAGCTCGTGACAGTTCTTCATCATGGACCAAGAGTAACAATATGGTCAGCAGGCAGGTCTGGTCTGGTCATGACCAAAGCCTGATGTTAGACACCAAAGGTGCACACATCTGAACACTGGGCCAGGGACATCAGTATCACTTGAACGTCTTCTAGATCACACACACACACACACACACACACACACACACACACACACACACACACACACACTTTCCTTGAGATCAAAGTTCGAGGTGCGCAGCCTCTTACCTGTGTCCGATGCCAGATCACCGATGCCCGGGAGTGGCCCAACTTGTTGCGACAAGGTCCCTTGTCATAATGTATCAGAAGGAAGTCATCCTGCGAAGGGCAGAGGAAGGTCTGCGGTGAATGTTGGACTCGGCCCTTGGTATGTTTTATATTCCAGATACACAGTGTGTGGACCCAGGCAAGAGTGACAGCGGGGGGAATGTGCGGAAACCTGGACGCTGTTCCTTTGGGCCACCACCATCCCTCTCCACAGAGCAGCCACAGGGAGCTGTTAGCCCCATTCCATAAAGGGAATCCTGGGGTCAGCTTTCAGTATTGAGCCAGAGAAGCGTCTCCTGGGTATAGGGCCTGTCTCTGGAACTTGTACCAACACGGATGACTACAGAGGAAGATGGAGTTTCCTCTGGGCCTGCCTGTGTCAGATCCCACGAGACCAGACCAGCTTCTCACCAGGCCAGTCCTCCCTCAGTTCAGATTTCCAGAAACATTTGGTAATGCTTCTCTTTACTCAAGAACCAGTCCAGCAACCACCCTCTACCCATACGGTCTCCTCCTGTCTAGAGTGAGCAGGCATCCCTTCCCAGTGCACAGAGAACTGTCTGCTCCATGCCTCCCTCCACGTGGCCTCTCCTCACGTTCTTAGGACAGTCATATCCAGACTGCTGGGTTGCTGGGCTGAGGGCTCATTGTGTTGGTCATCTCTGAGGATTCTTACCACTCAAGCAAGGGACCTCAATGTGTATCAGCACCACTGAGTATCAGGGACAGGTATTCTGCACGCCCCCGCCCCCGCGCCTGTCCATCATCAACAGGAAACAGGTAAGAAATGGCACCAACAGGCCAACACCCTTTGCTCATGTCACCAAGGCCACCATGGGAAGCTTCCTTTGAAGTAAAGTGTCCAATATGACCGAAAGGACAAGAGAACCAGAGAAACCTAGGATACCACCCACCAACTTCTGGCCCCTCGGGTCAACTCTGCCAGAGCTATGGGGCAGTGAAGCCATTCTGTCTCTGGTGCTGAAAAGGGAACCACCCTGGAGTTTGCTGACTTAAGGTCAAGCCTCTCAGGGTCCAAATACATGGCAGTGTGGCAGCAAACCCTGGCTTTTATGATGCAGTTCCAAACAATGACCACTGGGGGCAGAAGTTCGGCGGCTGTCTCACTTTCCCTGGACAGGTGAGCTCACAGCCTCTTCTAGCTCCAGGTGTGTTTCTGTTGAAACTCCATCTGGCCACATCTGCCTGCTGTGAGCTCTCCCCTTGGACTCTGAATTACCCTTTCCTGTTAATGTACAGTTACCCAGAGGATAGTTTAAGTGCACTTGTCTGGTTTCCCCAATCTGCCCATCACTGCACCTTGCTCTGTGGCTCTCTAAAAGGCTTTGAAGTCCTTTTCAGAAACACACACCAAGCTACATGGCATCCACCTACTTTCATGTCTTTATTATTTTTCATCCTTGAAAGTGGTTACTGGTTATCCAAACCTCCTAGAAAGCCAGTGGCAAAGACTGGCTTTCTAGCCTCCCAGGCCACGCTCCACAGATACTATGACCACACTGGCAGAGGTGGAAACATTCTCAAGAGAGACACGTGGGCCACCCCCAAACCCTTTGTCTATACAGCTATCGGAAAATAATGATCTCCACGGAGTTGGGATGTCCCCAGGAGTCTTAGAAGAAACAGGCTGAATCCTGGTACCAGATTGGGAGGTGGTGTCACTCAGGAAGAGTTCACACCTTCCTGGCAACTTGCCAGGCTACCTTGCAGGTGAGACAATGATGGGTGGGATCAACCTTGGCCAAGGCTACTGAGTTTTGTCTCTTGCTCTTCTTTTAAACCTAAACCTCATGCTGATACTTGAAAGATAAAGAGTCTGTGGCGGTGGGACGGGGGTGGGGTGTCACTGAACTCCTTTATCCCTTCCTCTTCCCAAGGCAACCACACTGAATAAATCTCTCTGCTTCTTGTTTGTGTCTTTAATTGGGATACTGGGGCTGGGTAGCCTAGTTGTGAGAGCTGCCCCAAGTCCACGCTTTGATCCTAACAGTTCTGGTAATAATACTGATTCACAGGCAAAGGGCATGCCCGCTTCCCAGAAGACTCCTGGCATGGGTGCTTTGCTAGGTAACCAGGCCCCACTGGAGGTCAGAGCCCTTAGCCTCGCACACAGAGACCGGGAAGGTCATGACTTCACCCTGGCTTCAGCTCCTCTTACGGGCATTTCTGGCCATGTCAGGTGGCACACACACCTTCCCGTCCTTTTATTGTGTCCGGTTCTTTGGTAACTGCTGGCTTCAACACCTCCTGTTCCCTTTGGCAGTGAACAAACTCTTGCTCAACTTTCACATTACAGTAACCCACACCATCCTAGCCTCTGCTCCCACATCACTCCATGTAGTGGACCATCAAAAATTAGCCTCTCCCTGGAATGTGCCCTCATCATATGCCAGAGTATTTCCTGCCTGGCAGAGTGTGTTAGCTACTTTGTTATTATCACACAACTTAAGGAGGGGTCCCTTTTTGGCTCATGGTTTGAAGGTTCTGTATGTAGCAGAACTGTTAGAAGGTCTTACTAATAAAAACAAACCCGGAGACAGGTATTGGGGTGAACGCTGGAAGATCAGAGAAGCAGAACAAGCCACAGCCACCTCACCTTGCCAATTCCTCAGCTGATCCTGTTTCCTCAGACTGGAAGCTTCTGAGTCCTCATCCAAATGGATCTCAGCTGAACTGTGCTGCTCAAAAGCCTAAAAGTTTAACCAGCCAAATGCTTCTAGTTTCTGGTCTTCACACCTTATATATCTTTCTGCTATCTGCCATCACTTCCTGGGATTAAAGGCTCTTGTTACCATGCCTGGCTGTTTCCAGTGTGGCCTTGAACTCACAGAGATCCAGGCGGATCTCTGCCTCTGGAATGCTAGGATAAAGGCGTGTGTACCACCGTTTTCTGGCCTCTATATCTAGTGGCTGTTCTGTTCTCTGACCCCAGATAAGTTTATTAGGGTACACAATATTTTGGGGAACACAATACCACCACATCTGTAAATTATGGTGAAGAAGGCATGGCTTCACACAGGAGCTTGAGGCTGTGGGTCACACCACAGCCACAGTCACTTAGCTTCCTCCCTCTTGTTCAGTCCAGGACTCCAGCCCACATCTAACCTCAATTATCTCCATCTAGAACCTCCCTCACAGACACGGCCAGAAGTCTGTTTCCATGGCAAGTATAACCCATCCATCAGAGGGGCTGGACCCTGAAGACCATGACCTTGGCTCCCTCAACTGCATCTGGCCCCTTCCACCCGCTGTGAGCTCTCCTTGCAACACCTAACCGCTGTTTCCTCCACACTGATATCATGTACAGTTGCCCATCGTCCACCAGCGGGGAACTGACCAGGTGCAGAATGGGCCTACTGAATACGATGCACGCATACTGAAGGAGGCTTTTCTTATGCACCCAGGGACTTTCATAAGGTCTGCACTGTTCCTTCACTCTTTGCTTCGCTCAAACGCCTGACAAGAAGCCACATAAGGAAGGGAGGGTGTGGTGGTATTTTACTTGTACTGAAATGTGATTTTAATTGTATGTTAATAAATAAAGTTGTCTGGGGGTCAGAGCTATTAGAGCCATAGCAAGTGCGTGGCGGCGGTGGCGCACGCCTTTAAGGACCTGGAGGGCGGTACATTCAGGCAGTGATGAGGCAGTCACATGTTTGGGTTTACAACCAATGAGAAGGCAGAACAGCTAGAGTATATAAAGTCATACACACAGGAAGTAGGCCCTTTTTTCGGAGAGCTCTCTTGGCTGAAGAGGATCGCTGAATCAGGAAGGGTGAGGCTCTTAGCTCTGACCTCTTGGCTTTCTTCTCTGAATCGGCTCTGTGTTTCTTATTTAATAAGACGGTTGGTTATATCTACAGGAGGGTTTACTGGGCTCGTGGTTTGGAACCACAGTCTATCATGGTGGGGAAGGCGTGATGGCGGGAGCTTGAGTTTGCTTGTTCACATGTGGGCAGATCTCGCAGCGCAGAGAGAGGAAGGCTTGAGCTTGGTTGGCCTTTCCCCTTTCCCTTCTCTTTCCATCTGGGACCACAGCCCAGGGGATGGAGCCACCCATAATCAGGGTGGGACTTCCTTTCTCAGCTACTCCTCTCTGTAATCCTTACACACACACACACACACACACACACACACACACACACAGAGAGAGAGAGAGAGAGAGAGAGACGTCAAAACAAAAAAAATTCTGTCTCTAATGCCCTAGGAGTTTTCTAATTCAGTCAAGTTGATGCCAGAAAATAAAATGATGGTCACTGGGTCTTAAAGACATGATTCATTGTGATTTTAAGTTTGTGAATGAAGCCCTTAAGCGTACCATGGCTTCCTACTAAAATTAACCATCACTGCCATCCAGAACAGATATAAATAGACTCCCATCAGGATGGACAGTTCAGTTCACTTGGACTCTTGCCGACTACAATGCCTAACAGGTGATTTTTAAATCGCTATTTTAAGGATAGTCTTTTAAAGTATACATGGTCAAACTCTCCCAAAACCAAAGTCATAATATCATTTTGGAAAATTGCCCTCCTGCTCAGCTTCAACTGTCAACTCAACATGACCTGGAGTCACCTGAGGAGGGACTTTTAATTGAGGGTTTGCCCAGATCAGAGTGGCCCATGGGCCTGTCTCTGGGGCATTGTCTTGGTTGTTAGTTGATGGAGGAGGTTGTAGTCCACTGTGGGCAACGACATTCCCTAGGCAGGTAGCCCTAGCCTGTATCAGCTAGCCTGGCTGCCAGTGAGGCAGCGAGGAGCATTTTCCCATGGATTCTTCAAGTGCCTGCCCCGACTTCCCTGTAAAATTTAAAATGCAAACAAGTAAACAAAAGAAACCCTTTTCTAAACTGCCTTTGATCAGAGCATTTTATCATAGCAGCAGAGAGGAGACCAAGGAGGGAGACAGTAAGAAACCATTATAGTAGCAGCAGCACCAGCATAAGGGGCCTGACACAGAGAGCACACGGGAGAAGCCTGCTATACTGGGCTAGAAACGTCAGAAAGCGAAGGGAATATATGTCTCCCTCTGTGTAGACGAGGCACGGACATTTCCTGATGCCTGGCATGCTTTGCTGTGTGTACTTTCATTTTTCCCACTGTCCCACTAACTGAACGTGCTCTCTACCACCCAAATGCTGGAATTCAAGGAAGTTCCAAGTCCCAGTATGGTGGTGTCGGGAGGTAGGCCTTTGGGGATGATTAAGTTTAGATAAGGTCATGAGGATGGAGTCCCTGACAGGATTACTGTCTTTGGAGAGACCAGAGCTTGCTCTTCCCAACATGGCCCAGAAGGGAGGCAGCCATCAAAGAACCAGAAAGGAGCCTTCATCAGGTCCCCATCTGCCAGGGGCCATAGTCCACCTCTCCAGCACCTGAACTGTGAGAAATGGATGGCTGTTGTTTGTGGCCCAGTCTGTGGGATCCTATCATAACATCCAACCTCATCAGGATTGACCCTAAAGAGCCAGACCCTAAGACACCCTAGAACACTCAGGACCTCTTCTTTTGTTAGGAGCAAAAGGACCTGAGCTATCTGCACAACCGAGACCATTCTAGTTTCTCCCCTTGGCCCTTAAGAGAACACACGTGGCCTATCTCTAGGACCCATCTCCACAGGAAAAAGGTGACACGTACTTGAGAACACTTTGAGTGTAATTGTGTCTCCTTGTGTACACAGGATTGTGTTACACCAGGAAACCTTTTCCCAAATTGTACTGTGCTTCAATATGATGAAAATAAACTGCCCGGGTCAGCCTCTAGAAGCTTGAACCAGCACTGGCTAAGTCAAGTTGAACCAGATTTCCTTCTTACCTCACGTGGATCATGCCTGGGCCAGCCCGGGTGTTTTTCAGAGACCCCGACACTCTTCAATATAGAGCTGAACCCCAAACCTGCCCTAAGCTTCCATACCCAGCACTAGTGACCAAGCTTCACCTCCGGGAACCCAGGAGAATCACCCCCTGGTGCTACTTTTTGCTCACCAGCACGGCCCTCAGCTTCCCTCCCACATGTCTGAACCCAGAGCTCACGGCGGCTGCGCGGTACTCACGTCCAGAGACTCCAGGCAGTACCAGCAGAAGGCATGCTTGCAATTCTTACACATCATCTGTGCGCAGCCCTCGTCCCGCTCGATGTACACCCGGCACTTGGGACAGCGCTTGATGGGTGCGTCGCCCTCTTCCATCTTGAAAGCGGAGCTGTGGGAGACACGCTATGAGGGTCGTGCAGCAGTGGGGGTCAAGAGAGACCTAGCAGCAGGGCTGTGCTGGGGGCATCTTGGAGCACCTCTCTACTGCAGGGACCCCAGACCTCTTGTTACTAAAGCCAATGGAAAACTAACAGCCCAAAGAGGGCAAATCGACCTGATTAAGGTAAAACAAAACAAAAACAAAAGGCAACATCAGCACATACCTAACTTTAGATTTCTATAGAAACTCTCATGTAAACCTCAAAACTTATCCTGGGGGAACCTGAAAAATGGTGCTGGGGTTTCAGAAATGTGTGCATCTTCCAAAGAGTGGATAATAAATTCTATGCACTTTGCTCTTGTCAGAAAAAAAATCAGTCATAAACATACACACATGAAGATACAGGCCTGCTTCAGAAGGTCTATCTGGCCTGCTGGTCACTACTGTATCCCTGAGGACCTAGGAGGGATGTGCAATGGTTATTACAGCTTCAAGTCTGGTAGCAGATGCTGGCTCCTCCACAGAGCAGCTCTAAGACACCTCTACAAGTCTCAGACTTCAGTGTGAGCCTAAGAAAGTATCCTGCAAAGTAGTGATGGTAGTTTGGATGAGAAGGGCTGCCACAGGCTCATATATTTGAATGCTTAGCCACCAGGGAGTATTTGAGAAGGATTAGGACATGTGGCCTTTGGAGTAGGTGCGGCCTTCAAGGTTTCAAAAGCCCACACCATGCCCAGCGTCTCTTCCCCCTCCAACCCCACCCTCCAATCCCCAGCCTGCAGATCAAGTTGTAAAGCCCTCAGCTACTGCTCCAGCACTATGCCTGTCTGCTTTCACCCTGATAATCATGGACTAACCCTCTGAAGCTGGAAGCCAGCCCCTAATTAAATGCTTTTTTTTTTAAAAGAGTTGCCTGGGTCATGGTGTCTTTTCACAGCAATAGAACCATTACTAAGACAGTAACTGGTAAAAAAAACTAGCTAGAAGTCAACACTGTTAAAATTAATGTTTCAAAAGTAAAACAGGTATTTAGACATGGCTGAGGAAGATCACCCATAGCATTCTTTTTTCCCCCTTTCTTAAAAAGATGGCTATTCTCTTAAGTATATAATATATATATTCTTAAAATATTCTCTTAAATATCTATATCTATATCTATAGATATAGATATAGATATATGACAACATCTGGAAGAATAAATGGTAAAGGCCAAGAGAATAGACTATAGATTATGGGGGTACATATAGTACTATGTGAGAACCCACCACACCAGTATGACCTGGAAAGAGATGCCAGTCAGTGTTTTGTCTGAATGCACAGTTGCTGAAGTCAGGCAGGGCCACTATTAGCCAGCATCTTGGTGGAGGAGCATTCCAAAAGGCCACAGTATATACATGAGCTAATGATGCCTTAGCACAACCTGTGTGATGATTAGCAGTGAACATTCCTCATGGTCATGTCCACCGGTTTCCTAAGTGTAATGAGGCTTGTGTGACTGAGTGAAGGGGATTCTGTTTTGTCCACTAGTGGAAGGTGATAGGTTAAGAAATTTTGGGAAAGGCTGGGAAGATGGCTCAGTGGGAAGGGTGTTTGCCATGCAAGCACAAGGGATAGTTTGGATCCCCAGGACCCACATAAAAGCTGGGTTGGTGTGGCATCTATCTATAATCTCAGCACTAGAGACAGATAAGGATAGGGTGTCCCTAAGGGAAGCTGGCTAGCTAGTCTATCTGACTGATGAGCTCTGGGTTCAACTGAGAGACCCTGCCTAAAAATATATAATGGCGAGTAATCCAGGAAGATACTCAGTGTCAACTTCCACCTGAATGCCAGGATGACAAGCATGTGCCATCATGTCTGGTGTATGCTGGGGTGGTTACTGAACATGGGGCTTCCTGCATGCTAGCTAGGCAAGCAGTCTACTGACCAAGCTCATCTCTAGTCCCTGAGGAAGTTCTGTGGCAAGGAAAATGCCTGGGCAGGGAGCCTCCTTATTCCACTAGAAAGGGTCCTCCATTCCTGTTCTCCTGCTGAGAGGCAGGACTCACTCACTCCTTCACTAGGGGTTACTCTTGGAGACAAACAACTGGGCCGCTTCCCTGAGTAGATGCCTCATCCGCCTCTAGCTCTCCCCTCCCTGGACATCAACCTCTGCTGGTCACTTTTAACCAAGCCATGTAGCAGGTATATTTCTTCCTAGAGACTGGTTGCTTCTATAACACTACATCTAAATTCAGTGATCTTTGCTTGCATCAAATGCCCGATGCATGCCAGGTCAAAGGTCAAGCATGCAGAGCCCCTGACAGCAGAAGCATCAGCCATGGGGACAGTGACCTACAACACAGTAAGTCCTGGATGGTGGTCAATGCACCCAAACTGCAGCAGGAAAGCAAAGGATGCAGTCACCAACCCTACCCTGGAGACAGAGCTGAACGAAGAGAGGGGAGCCCTGTGAAAAGGGCAGCGAGGAGGCTCTGGAAAGGACCATGGTGGGAGAGGGACCTGTCGGCCCAGGGACAGTGTTCAAAGTGAGAGAGGACAGTGCTGGGCTGGGAGATCAACAGAGGATCTGTAGCTGGGGCATGGCGGGGGCATCTTCCTGAGGATGGGAAAACAAGGGAGATCAGGAACCAGGTGGGGAAGACCCCTTTGGGTAGGGAGAGGGCAGTCATGATAGTCTCTTTGTCGGCGGCATGGCTGGCCACTTTGCCTAGCTGAAACTACACAACATTTTGTCGGGGAGGGATGCCCTGATATAATTAGTTTCTTATGGTTCACTCCGTTGAATTCTAAAGTTCATGGAATTAACTGACAACGTCTACCTGAGCAAACAGCTGGGCTGATCTGACTGGGAGGAGCGAAAGGGAAGAAATTCAGTTGTGTTTTGCCATATGCATCTCAATTTTAGAGAGATGTGGGGCTCTTAGCTTCAGGTACCTCTGGACAGACCTACTAGTGATCTTGCTTGTAAGCAGCACTCACTATGGCCAGTGTTCTTATTCCTACACTCCCATTTCGGATCCCCTCTCACAGAGGGTAGGTGCGGAAAAACTGCAGCGATCAAAGGACTTAATCGCGGTGTGTAGCCCACAGTGCATCTATCGTTTCCTGCAGGGAGTAGAGAGTGGTTTTTACACATCTTTACATTCCCAGGGACTTGCGATGTACCTGGCAGACGTTCTCACAAGGAAACCACAAGCCTAAAAGAAACTCTTGAGGTGGACCTGGGGCTGAGGCCAGTGATGTATGGCCGCACGCTCTCAGGTGTCACTTACAAGAAGGAAGCCTACCTTCCGCCAGCCACAGCTCCCCGCCCACAGCTCTCAGTTCCCCACCCTCGGCTCTCAGCTCCCCGCCCAGCCCACGGCTCTCAGCTCCCTGCCCACTCATTCTACCACAGCTCCTATGTAGCGGTACCTGGTCTCCCCGGGAAGGAAGGTGATTGGCATGGTCTCGGGGCAGCCTTGGCCCGGGTGCCAGCGGGCTTTGCATGCAGAGCAGAATTCCATGTCACAGGCTTTGCACTGCACCAGCTGGGGGGTCTGAAGTCCTATGTCCTGGAGTTGGCACACGGCTTGGCAGGTGGATGCTGGGCACCACGTCCGGCAAGGGTCAAAGAGCACCTCTAGCACAAGGAGACAGAAGACAAAAGTCAGGTTCAGGACATCACAAGCACTGGAGAGGGTGAGCATGGAGAAGGCCCTCTGGGGCACTACGGTGAAGAGGCCTGACTGAACATTAGTGCAGCCATGACAGGCTGCAGACTAACAATACTGGGACTAGGCCTCACCGTTACAACAACCAGGAAAAGCCACAAACTGCATCCTGTGGGGGACCAATCAGAATTGAGACAAACAAGTACTAGATGCTCCAGAACATTAAGGATAGCTTACATAATCTGTATAAAGGTTGCCAATTTCCTTGCAGCGACGCCAGTACCAATCCCTGTTTGATAAAACTTCTGCTACCTCACTCCTGTCCAATCAGGAGTTCAACCCCCATCTGAATGCAGAATTTCCCTACCCCCCTCATCCTTTATTCCTTAACCCTCCCTCCCACCCCCCACCCCCTGCTTCAACTGAGCTTGAGGCTCTCCCTGACGAAATCGCTGTGTTGGAACAGACAGAGAGCCCAAGTTCAAGCTTGCAATAAAGGCTCCTTGCTTGTGCATAGGAACTCGGACTCCTGGACTCCTGGTGGTCTCTGGGGGGCTCCTGACACTGGCAATGACAACTGAGGCAGTCACAATGGAGGACATCCAGGTGACCCAGCCAGACACGCTCCAGATAAACTGATCCACACCGCCCCTAAGTTCATCCAACTCCACCCAAGCTGGTTCCAGCTTTTCACCCTTGTACCTGGTATGCCAAGGGCTCCCACAGCTGCCATCTCACCCCCCAGTTCCATTACATTCCAGAGAAGAGAAGTGCTCACCCAGCCCAGTCTCTCTGAGTGCCAACATCACCAGACCCTTGTCTGCAACCCTCCCCTGCCCTGCCATGTTCCCACCACAACCAGGACACATTTCCTGGAGTCAGGTGAGAGCCTTGCCTTGAAACCTCGACATCTACCCAGTGCCAGGCTTACACACAGCCACTCGCAAATTTTTTGTTGAACAGTGAAAAGGAAGGAGGGGAGGAAGATGCTGCGTGAGTCTTATTGCCTTTCTACCTGTTTAAGGTGGCATACAAAACCAAGGTCTTTGCTTTGGCATTTCCAGAACTGGGTACCTTATTTTGTTCATAATTAGTCTTCTAATAGGGTGATTCACATGCCCAAGACAGATTCTCTTGCCAAGTCCAAACCTGGGTAAAACTAGTAGCTTGCATTTCCTGAATATTAAGCCCAAGCTATTGCAAAGCCTTTCCTAATGGGATTGGTCAGGAAGCTTATTTTAAAAACAGGATATGGTGGCATTCCTTTCTTCTCATCCTGACCCCAAACCTGCATTTATAACTCATCTCTAGCTGGCCTCCATAGTGAGCCAGCCCGGCGCCTCACTTTCTTCCTCTCTAGTGGACTTTGAACTTTCATCAGGTGTGGTAGGAGACACCAACAGGAGGCTAATATTCTAACAGGGACCACGGCAGGCCAGATGGCCCATTACAGGACCATCTCCACAGGACTGCGTGGGCCACTGGCCCTCAGCTCTGCAGTCGGGCTGATCTTGAGAGGCAATCTGGGGAACACTGAATTGTGATGAGGAAACATATAAAAGGTGTTTGCTAATGTGCAAGGCAAAGAGTGCTTGTTTGCAAAAGTCTGGGCCCTACCCCAGGTAGGCAGACGTGGTTGTGGCTCATCATAAAGGACAGGAACTCTACTCCATGGGACACCCAGCCCACTGAGAGTGCAGAAGGCTGCGATGTTTAGCACTGACTGTCAACTTGACAGGAGTCTTGATCACCTAGCACACAAGCCTCTGAATGTGTCTAGGAGGCAGCTTCTAAATTTCTAATAACTGAAATGGGAGGACTCCTTCTAACTGTAGGGAGCACCATCCCCACGCACTGGGCTACTGGACTGAACAAAAAGGAGCCATCGAGCAACGAACAGGCATTCATTTCTTTCTGCTTCCCGACTGCAGATGCAATGGGACCAGTCGCCTCACGTCCCTGCCACCACGCCATGGTGGACTTAACAAAACTCCCAACTGTGAGGCAAATAAACCCTCAATGACAAGGTCTGAAGCTGCAGAGTCCTGACCTCATACACTTGTGTGCCTTTTCTATGGGTTCCAGGTCCCTCAATAAGAGGGGACACTCTGTTCAGTGCTGAGGGAGCAAGTCTGTCAGGCATAAGATCGATAACGACCTTACCCACTGTAGTAGAGGTCAGCCAACCTCTGTAAAGGGCAGGGTGGGGATTATTTATGTTCCTAGGGACCATGTGATTTGGGGGTTTCTGTAACATCTACTTGGTTTGTTATTGGGGTTAAGAGCAGACTCCCACCCATGAACGAAGGTTCTGAGGAAACATAGAGCAGAGCAGCTGGGGGTCAGAGGTGGGTTGGTCCACTAGCCGCGGCTGGCTGACTCTTTAATCCAATGCAACTCCTTGCCTTATTTATGAAGGTAAGTTCATTGAAAGTATAAAAGGAGCTTGTTGATATGACAGCAAGGGCCAGAGATGGTGCTTGTGACCCCCGAGGAACTCCAAGACTGAGAACCTGCATTACACACTGACCGGACTCCATGACAATACTGCAAAACCTCTGAGACGCCCCTGAAACTGAGAGAATGAACAGCGGCTACTGTCCAGCTTGGGTGGCTGTCAATGTCTGCTGTCTGAAGAAGGTGCATGGCCAGTGAACGTGTGGATACATGTGGAGATAGAACTGGCGCACATGGAGAAGTGTTGCCCTGCAGGCTTGGGATGCCGAGAGCTCCCCAAAAACTCACAGACCTCAGGCACGTGCTGGGAGGAAATCCCCAGGGAGCTCCCACAGCCCCCAAACCCTCAGGATTCTCCTTGGTCGCAGTTCTTGCCTTCAACACACAATACGTTCCACTTCACCTACCAGTCCTCTGTGCATGTGATGGGGGAGCTAGCCTGGCCCCAGACCAGATATGATGTACTCTAAATGACATTCGGGGACACAGTGACTCAATGTGCTGAACATGTGACATGGACACAGGCCTCTGGCTATCTGTTTAATATCATGCTGTAGTCGAACCTTGCTGGGAGTAGGCTTCCTGTCTCAGACCCTGGGAACCCCTATGTCCTGCCTGCTGACCCCCCCAATGCTCTGGAAGCCCCAGACATCAGTGGGGGTTGGGGCAGGCTTCTCTTCACACACTTCCTGACATGCGCTACAACCCCCTGACAACAGTGAGAGAGGCTTCCTTGCACCTTTATCACAGAAGGCCCATTTGACTGTGGCATGGAGCGGGGAGACCTAAGGAAGGTTTCCATGGTAACAACTCCAAGTCTATGACTGGTTTACTCAGGGCCATGAGATGACCCTGCCGATTGTCACTCGGAGAGATTCCCTACAGGCAAAGTGAAGTGATCTGCCTCTGAGCGGACTGCGAGCATCCTCTGCATCCTCTGCGAGGCCAACAGTGCAGCCCCAACCCCTGGAAGAAATCTATTAATACTCTCATTGTTCTCCCCACTGCTCGATTCTGCCAGCTGTGCATACGAGCAGGCAGCAGTCCGGAGCAGAGCTCAGAGCAGACAGCACTCGTGTGCTTCTCTCAGAATGTATAGAAGTGTTGCTCAGCTTTTCCGTCGCCAGCATCTATTAATAACCCGTTGTCCATGCTGCATCGTACAGAGTGTATATTATATCTATTATATTACATACACACACACACACACATGTATGTGCATGAGAGATGTTAACATGAAGCAAGCGATGTTTTCTGGGGGAGCAAAAGAATCCAGTCAGAACTCCAGTCTGCCAGAGACATACTTCTCTTCAGGAGACCAGTTTAACGTGAGTTTCTCAAGGACCCTCAGTGAGGCAGACCCCCGAGAGCTCTATTAGAAAATATCCAACCATTTTCCAAAAGGCGGTTTACTTTTTAAAGACAGATGGTATGCGAAAGTATTCTGAGGGACCAGCAACCCACACACCCTCATGTGCTCCCTGCTGCTCTGTTGACTGATGCACCTGATACCCTGGTCCTCCTCTGTGGTGGTAGGCATGATCCTGCTCGGAAGACACTGCAAACTGAGAACCCTGTTTTTTGTCAGAGCTGGAAATGAACCTGGCCATGTTATTAATCACTCAGAGATTTTTTTTTTCTTTTAATACACCAAAGGATCAAGTTGGGATACCATGAGCCTCCAGACACACTCAGATGCTGCAGGGCAGGTATGCACAAGAGTGTGTTCCGTGGACCTCTCTCTAGAGCCTTTCCTCACCCAGGTGCCAGAGTGAGCCCGGAGGGACAGAAGGTTCCAGAAAGCAAAGGCAGTACCCCAGAACCTCCAGATGGTCAAAGACTTCAGGGGCAGAGGCCAAGAATCTAAAAGGAAAATCCAGGCTCCCAGGTCAGTTGAGACACACCGGGGCTAAATAAAGAGCCTTTTGAAGCTTAAACTCACTGTAGGACTTCTCTATAACTAAAAACGTTAGAAAATCATCTAAATGAGTTTCCTCCTAAGGCATCCTCCATGGACTAAACTTTGAAGGAATGAAGCAAGTCTAAGTTAGCTTTCTGGTCACATCTCCAGGTTCGTCCAAGGTACTGGCTAGAGTACACAGCTGTGTTTCAAGTCCCACTTCTAACGTTCCATCTGGGCCAGCACTTCTGGGTTATTAAGTCCAAATCCTTTTAAAACCTCACTCAGCGTTCGGCTGCTAAGATGTTTTCTAGTGATAGTTTTCAGTGTTTTTCTAACCTAAGTTAAGGTGATTCATTTCTGACACAAGAGCCAGAATCTTTTAGACGAAGCCAGAGTACTGGGGAGGGAAAGGAAGATTATAATTATTTGGTAGAAAAACCAATCCAGCTGCACTTTTGAATTAAAATTGATGTCACAGAAAGTTCATATTCCTGTGATGAAAACAACTCCCAGTTCCTGTTAAGATCCCATGAAAACGAGTTCAAAAGAGTCTGAGGTTCTCAGAGATCCAAATTAACCGACTTTAGAACTCCTCGCTCTCTCTTTAATGCTGCACAGCAACAGATTTAAGGTAAGCTGCCCCAGTGTGAATGATACACGCCATCTAAAGAGACAGACTCTGGAAAACAAATTTTGAAGCCATCAAAAATCCTTATTGACCTCGTAAAAGACTTATTTAATCTAATTTTATGTGCACGTATACAATGTATATGTGTTTGTCTACATGGATGTATGTGAACCACACGCATGGCATGCTCACAGAGGCCAGAAAAGGGCATCAGACCCCCCGGAACTGGAGTTAGAGTTGGTCATGAGTCACCACCTGTGCAAGAACCGTGAAGTGTTCTCAACTGCAGAGTCACCATCTCTCCAACCCCGACTGACGTTTGAAGTTATCCATGCAAATACATACACACGTACATATACACACATGTATATATACTTTTAAGTCAACTAGAGGTGACCTCTAGCATTTCTCCTGTTTTCTTTTTAAACCTCAGACTTTGGCAGATCCACATGTACTCTGCCGCTGCTGCTGCTGCTGCTGCTGCTGCTGCTGCATCCTGCTCTGCATTTTGTGCTTCCACCTAAGCATTATCACCTTGGGATCTGCCTCAACAGAAGACCTGTGATACCGGCTCATGGTATCTAGGGAGAGGGGATGTGGTCACAGAGTTTCCTGCAGGGGCAGAGCACTCACTGGGTGCCTTCCTAGAGGCCCCACAGCAGGAGCCACGTGCATTACACTGTCTCCCATCTGCTCTTTGCAGGTGACCTCAAGCCCCTGACAGCAGAGCAAATGGGATCTGTAGGTCCTTTCAAACACCATTTTATGATTGCAGAGCTCCAGAGAGGAAAGATGAAGGGCTCACCCGGCAGGCATCCAGCCTGTCTCAGTGCTCCACACATCTATCTCTCTGTCTTCACCAGGACTGGATCTAGTAAGGAGAGGTCCGAAAAGGGCCCAACAGGATGGGGGAAGTCGGCTCTCAGAGATGGAGATGTGGCCAGACCCTCACTAGAGATAGAAACCACGGAGGTCACCCAGTTGTCTTGGGTGTGAGCACAGTGGACCGTGGTATGTCAGGCCTGGGATACTCACCGAGGCCCAAGGCTCACTAACTCATCGCTGCTATCTAAGCCTTCAAGGGGTAGTGAATCATGAGTAGGGTGAATGTAGATTCAGTGCTCGGCAACGGTACCTGCAGGAGTATCAAGCTTCAGGACTTCCTCACACACTGTTGGGTCTTTTAAATGCAGGGAGGATCTAAGAGTTTGCAACACCTCTAGACCCAAAGCCGGCTGAAGAAAAATATGGACTAGGGATCTCCTTAAGCCAGCAAGAAGTCCCAATCTCTGTATATAAATAGTGTCTCCTGAGTCCCTCTGGCTGCCAAATAGGTCACAAGCCCAGGCTGCCAGGCTGTGAGCGACTCAGAGGATTCCTAGCCAACCTTATTTCAGAGGTGCAATTTACACCATGCTTCAGCCCTTGTTGAATCCCTTTTCACTCCCATCCAATGATGTTCACTCATGTCTCCCAAGAGAAAGCTCCGTAAACGTTATCCACCTTCTGTTGTAGGATCCAAAACTGGCTAACACAGCAGACCACTTACCTCTTTCAAATTGTAGCTTTTTATATCTTTGCATAATTTCAGCTGCAACCATACACTCAATCTGCAAAGAGAAAAAAAAATAGACGTCAGGATTGTCACATACAGAGGGCTAGAATGCAACCCAACATGAGGCCAAGCAGAAAACAACGGGGTCCTGAGAAGCCAGCTACAGCCCACCGTACACAGGCAACAAAACCATGTGTTCCCTCCCTGAACGTGCCTCATTTTCCTGAAGGTGGCCCTTTTTAGGGCATGCAGCATCCGGGCAGCTAATTGCAGTTTCTAGTCCTTCTTTGATCAAGAGCTCAACATACTGTTTCAGGCACTGAAAGAAAGAAAAGTGTGTAAACACCTGGACTTCCCAAATACCGCAGACAAAGTGATGTGTTGAGCAAATGGCCAGCTATTAACCCTGGGAGCCACATTAACTACCGGCCTGGCAAGATGTGCCTATTGGGAACAACAGTGGTATGACTGTTACAGGAATAACCAACCACTTTCTGATTGGATTTAAAGTCTGGTCATTAAGATGGAACTCATACTTGGGACTGTGAACTGCATTTGACACGTGGCTGTCGAGGTCATAGGCCCTAGAGGTAAATAGACTACATGACTCTTCTGCTAAGTGGACATCATATTAAACAGCTCCTTGAGTTCTGACCGTCATACCCACAGAGGAGTGCATCTCTCAACCTTCATCAGAAAAGGTTCCTCAGTAGGGAAGTGATGCTACAACTAGCCAATGTGCACAGAATAAGAGACATTCAAGTGTTCCGCTTGAAAACGGGGCAGCCATGCCATACCCCTACTCACAAGGCTCAGAGATCATCGGAGAAGAAGAGGCAGAAAGAAAGACTGTAAGGGCCAAAGGAAGAGAAACAGCTATTACCAAATATGACAGGGAAGGGAAGGGAAGGGAGGAAGGAGAATGGTAAGATAAAGGGAGGGAAGGGGTGAGAGGAAGGAAGAGAGGGAGGCCAAGTTCCCTAAGAGCCATTTTCAAAGCTGTTTTCCAGAGACTTGGCATCATGGGCAAAATATCGCCCCGGGCTCTAAGCAGTGTTTATCAACCTGTGGGTCAGGACCCCTTTGGGGGCCAAACAACCCTTTCACAGGGGTCGCATATCACGTATTGACATTGTGATGCATAACAGTAGAAAAACTACAGTTATGAAGTAGCAATGGAAATAATTTCACTACAACATGAGGAGCTGTGTTTAAAGGGTCGCACCATCAGGAAGGTTGAGAACCACCGCTCTAAGCAGAGGCCCTTGTCCGTCAGCCCTCAGCTTCATGCATCGGCCAGGGCTCGGATGAGGACTCGGGCTCTGCACACGGCCCACCTACATCTACCTGTGGATGAGAGAGGCCGTGGGGTTCTGTTGGAAGCACAAGATGGTGGGGTTTATCAGAAACAAACTCTTTGTCATCCATGGGAGGCCTTCCCAATACAAGAGAGGGCAGGTAACGAGGTAAATACAGGAGCATCACCAAGTCCCACCAGGGCCACAGTGCTGCCCCAGCCCCAACCTAGACAGCACTGCTGACCTGCTATGACGTGACACTTGGCTGGGTGGTGAAGGTCTATTCTATGTGTGGCAGGCATGGAAGTGCTATGCCTTGTCCATGGTGGCAATATGAAAAGGGAGTATGGCCCTGTAGTCTTTGGAGTCAAGACAGACCTAGGCAATCTTGATCCCTCCACTGAGGCCATGGCGAGTACAACCTTGACACTTTTGGCCCCTAGTTCCCTAGATAATAAAATTGGAATGCCTGCCTTACTAGGCTTTCTTGACAGAAAAAAAAAATAATAAAGAATATCACAACGCCTGGCACAAATCTTGGTATAGCAGCTAAGTAAGCAGGGGCTGTTGTCTCATTTGTCCGCCCGTGTGGTAAGCCTTTTTACAGTCACAGGCATAAAAAAGCCCAACTCCTTAGCAACAAGATCATTGCTTACTGTCTATAATTACATCTATCTAATCGGGTCTCTGGAGGATGCTGGAATGTCTTAAACCAACCGAACTCAGAAAACTCGGACAACTTTGGCTGGAGTCCAAGATAATGACACAGCCTCATTCTCTCTAAACGGGAGACACAACAATTAAACCAGGTGTGAGATGTGTGCCCACGGGACGTCTCACAACCACACTGTTCAAAGGCTCGCAGTGAGTCACGTCTGGGTGACAGCAGCCCCGAGAGCAAGCTTAGCAGACCGATGGATTGTATCTCTGAGCAGTACACACTGTGATTATGTCATGGGAATATTGATTTGTTTACTACAGCGTGGCTGATCCTGCATCCATCGAAACCGCGGCCCTCTTTTAGATACTAAGTGGGTCATGACTCACAAGCCTTGTTTTCCAATCTAATGGAAAAAGATGTCTTAAAATGAGCACATGCACACACACACAAATCAGAAAACCAGGGAAACTTCTGTTACAATAAATAAACATGCCCTGGACAGGAACTGACGCAGTTTCTGATACATGTATCATCTTTCTTTAATCAAATGCCTTCCAAATACCAGACTGTTGTTAGTCCTTTTGCCTGTTAGATCAATAAATAGTCCTAAAACCAAAACCGTGAGGTGTTACCACTACCCCCGTGAAAGTGCAGGCTTGGGAGTGAGTCGTCACCCAAGGCCATTTGCTACAAACATAGGCACTGGGCCCCCAGAGCACATGTGCCTAACGCCAAGGCTGGTTCCAGGCTTTCTGTCTGATTTCCCTCTCTTTATCTTCCTTAATTAACTGCTTACACTGGGTCTGGTGACTCAGTCCCGTAATCCCAGTACTTTAGTGGATGAGGCAAGAAGACAAGGAGTTCAACGTCATACTGGCTACACACTGAGTTCCTGTTATGTAGCAAAACACCATCTCAAAGAACCAATACATGCACACACACCACACATACACACTATACCACACACACACACTCCTACATATATCACACACACACACACACACACACACACAACACACATACACACTATACCACACATACACACTATACCACACACACTCCTACATACATCATACACACACACCACACACACACACACACACACACCACACACACCACACACACACACCACATACACACACACACAACACATACACACTATACCACACACACACTCCTACATACATCACACATACACACACCACACATACACACTATACAACACACACACCACACATACACACACACACACACACACTATACCACACACACACTCCTACATACATCACACACACACACAACACACACACACACACACACACACCACATACCACACACACACACTCCTACATACATCACACACACACACACACACACACACACACACACACACACACACCACACAGAGAGGCTCTCGTAGCACAAGCAATCATTTTTGAAGCATCTCTGTTACATCCAAAAATTTTCCCAGAACAAAGACTACATCCACTAAACTGACATCTGAACAGACACAGAGGCAAAGCATAGTTTTTATTGTCAACTTTACACAAACCTAGTCACTTGGGAAGAGCTAACCTCAACTGGAAAACTGCTTCAATCGGATCGGCCCATTGCCATGTCTATGAAGGATTGTCTTGATTTCCAAGGGATAGGGGAAGGCCTCGCCCAATGTGGGTGTTGCCCTCACTAGGCAGGTGGGCCTGCGCTGTGTGAGAAAGGTAGCATGAGCCAGTGAGCAGCCTTCCTCCAAAGCTTCTGCTTCAAGTTCTTGCCCTAACAGAGTTCTCTCAAAGATGGAGTGTAACCTGCAAGACGAAATAAATCCCTTGCTCTTCCGGTCATGGTGTTTATCGCAGCAACAGAAAGCAAACCAAGACATCAGGGTACAGTGTCACCGGGTGTCAGTGAAGGCTTGGGAGACAAAAGGAACTTCAGGAAAGCAGCACAGACTACGGAAAGGAGTGGAGAGCAGGAACGGGGCCACAGAATGCTCCAGGCATTACACTTTCCACCGTGGCTTCCAACTCTTTGAAAGAGTTGAAAGGACAGACAACTCTGCAGATTGGCCAGGACACTCCCACTCCACCAGAAGCTTCCTGCCAAGGAACAGCGGGCCACGGAAACTGGCCTGGAACTCCAGTTAGTCAACCGTGAATGCTCTGATTCGGAACGCCTGCCTGGCTACTAACACTGCAACGACAAGATCCCAGACACGGTGGCTCCCTTGTACCCACTGTGGCTCGCTTGTAACCGGGTGGCTTGGGTTAATCACAAACCACGGTTTACAAAGACCACTCGGGGGGTAGATGTAGACAAGAGCCGTGCACCCCAAGAATAACCATTTCGGGAGCAAGGACCCTGGAATCACAGTTGGGTTTGGATCCTGGCTCACCCATCAACCAGTCTTGTCAGAATGGCTAAAACCGTCATCTGGGAGCCTTCCGCCGCAGGGTGTGGGTTAAGCTTGGCAGACATGGGAAATGTCATTCTCCAGCATGCGAGCTGTGGAGACACACTGCCCCAGGTGATGGCTGGACGTCAGCACTCTCCCAGCGTTTCTGGAGCTAGCTAGCAGTAAAGGAACTCTTTGTTTCTCCTCCATCAGATGGCAAGTTTTCTGAAGGTCAGAATGGCTTAGCATTCTTCTTTCTATTATCCACACCCAACAGTGCCAGTCAGTGGGGAATTGGTGCTGCACAGATCAACATACAGATGAGCCTGAACCTAGCCACCAACATGCTGTGTCTCTGCAGAAGGCTTGGTAACCTGAGCCTGCAGCAAGCTGCCCACACAGACCTGCAGAGAGCTGAGCTGCAGAGCCAGAGACTGGCACTGTGCACATCGGGAGATGGATGAACAGAATAGCATTCTTAAGACAGTTTCATAAGGACCTTGGATGGCCCTGGACCTAGTGCAAACTACCCACATGTCTCTTCCGGCAGGAGCAGTCCCCAAGACCACAGGCCCTGATGTCACTCACAAGCTTCCAAAATAGAAACGTCTCTGAAAATTAATGAAAGAAAAATAAAATCCAGACTTTACCTGTTTAAAAATAAGAAGGAAACTGCTCCTCTCTTATTAGTCTGTGCTCCTGCCAAAACAGGGACACTGTGTCTCCAAAGTAAATGTAGTTTGCATTCTCTAGAGCCCAGTTCTACCACTCACTGGTCAAGTGCGCATCACCATCGGCTGCACTGGGGTACCACCTGATCACACTGTGAACCCCAAGATTGCGGTATTTATTGGAAAAATCTGTTTCTAGTTGTGATGTGGCTCAGCCCTAGCACACACCTTTAACCGCACAAGAGCTTTCTGCTTGAATATTGTAAACAGGATTAAATAAAGTCAACCATGGGCCTA